TTATAGGTCAATCTCTACTATTGAAACAGGCAGGACAGCTGAGAAAGACAGCAACCGCAGCTGCTGGGGACAATGTGATGGGACTAGTACACCAGAAAACTGTCTCTGCCCCAGTTTGGGATTATGTTCCAATGATAAAGATGAACTAGACCACTGTTGAACTCTTCAAGCTCCAAAAGCAGTTTATTAACCACATGGTTTTATTAAACTGCAAGTCTGCCATCATTCCTGCTCTTACTACTGAAAGTGGTATTATAGTTCACTGCTGGGTGTACGGCAAAATAGTCTTTAATATTGTAAAGAACCTAGGATCAGTCAAAAGACAGCAGAACACTGACTCCTTCATGCAAACCCATTCAAAAGTGGCCACTTGCCTGTTCATGCAATATTACTATTTGAGCTCTAACTGGCCCAATATCTGAAGAAGATTCGTAAATTCAGAGCTTGAATTTTACTATTTGGATCACCAGCCCAAGTACATCAACTCATCCTGCCAGCATCTTGGAGACATTTAAGATATGAAGTCTTTTCACTGCCAGCTTTAACAGTTACTGAGCATGGTTGAGGGTAAACAAGCCTGCTTGACCTGCTGGCCAGCAAAAAAAGGAAAAAAGAACTGTTGAGAGTGAAAAGCAAGCCATCCGTCACTGAAGCATTACCAGACTGCATTACATTCAAACAAAACTCTCCCTGATGATTAGATTACCTGCCAAGCACAGATGGCAACTAATGACAGGCTGTGTTCAATAGCTAACCTAACAAAATATACCACTACCCTGAGGTATGAAATGTTAAATTGTTATATAGCACTCCTTAAACGTGACTTTCTACAATGCTAAATAATGGTAAGCTGGTCACCTTGGCCTTGAATAGATTTGCAACTTAAAGATCTAGGTAAATGGACAAACTTTCTACAAATATGCTGCATTCAGGCTAGCTAATTAGTTAACACTTTAATACTTCTTCAGTTAGACAAGTATGTCACAAATTATCCTCTATTATTAACAAAAATAATAATAATTAGTTCATCTTGATATATTACAAAAATACATAGGCGGATGAAGTATTCAGATTCTTTAAGTAAAAGGACAAATTTAATAGTTCTGTGCTTGTAAATGTAAGCATTAACCAAAAAAACAGCTTACAAAGAGCAACAATTACTCAATGCAGACTATATATATCTTTTTAATAATTTTAAGTGTTTTTAATTGCTTTCTGCATTAGCTGACTGTTCAGTTCAAAAACTGACATTCGACTACAACTTTTGAACATGACAGCTGGAACCAGCAAATGTTTGGAACCAGCTGTTTGACTAGTCAAATAATTGTTTTGGCTCTGGATACAATAGCTCCTAAAAACTAATCAATGCACAACTTATGTGACACAATAAACACTGACCAACAGGGCAACACCAGTGTTTGCCTCACATATTAGGACATCTCTAGTTAATAAAACAACAACAAGTCTTAATATGTTCTGTGTAAAGAAAACTCGTCCATTAGAAAAGCTGTCAGATAAATGTAGTGAAGTGAAACGTGCCATTTCCCTCTGAATTGTTGTGGAATATTAACAGAAAGGAAACACTGGAACACCTCACATCTCTACTGAGGTACAGTATTTACGGTAATATAGGGAGTTACAACCAGCCCAGTAATAACTTACCATGTCTAATGATATTAGGTGACAGAAAGCATTGTGACCCGGGTGGTCCGCTCCTACACAAACACCATTACTGACAACTGTTACCTCTGTGTTAGCTAACTGGTTGTATGCACAGAGTGCAGTTTTTAAATCTCCATTTTTAGCTGTTCACACTTTATTAATATTAATATTATTATTATAACAACCGACAGTACACAACAGCTTCATACCCACCTATACTACATATACATCACAGCAGCTAGCGTGAGTCCTGTCAGTTTAGCTACAAAGCTAACGTCGTACAAGATTAATCAGTAACCTTACTTCTTCCCACATGAACTGAAACGGAGACTACAGGCTTGTTTACTCGCTGTACGATCACTTCCAGTGAAAACACAACCTGGCTTGTTACCAATGACACGAACATCTGCCCAGCGTTAAAGGCTATGCAGCAGCGAGAGGGGGCTAGCGCTAGCACCTTTAGCATCGTTAGCTGGCTGCCACCCCCCCCACCGGTGGTTTTGCAGGGGGCATCGGGTTTTCCAAAAAAAGAAAGAAAGGGGAAAACACAGAGCCACCGGCACGCAGGGCGAGGTGACGCCTTTACTTTGCGTTCATGTGTTCGTCCGAAGGCGTGAACCCAAGTGACCATACCTCAGGATGGAGAATAGGGACGCAGCCAGCTTCTTTCTCATATTCCTCCATAGCGTCGGCCATCTTGGTGGTGATGCTCGCTGAGCATTGTGGGAAACAGGAGGCAGTGCAGGGGGGAACAGTCGAGGAGGAGGGGAGGAAGAGAAGAGAGGATCTGTCAGAAACACTGGTGATGTACAGGTCACAGCACATAATAGAAAGGATGTCTAAAGTTGTACAGCAAAAATATATTTACTGTGATTTATTATGTTTCCTATAAAATTATTCGGGGGGTTTTGTGTTAGTACCCCGTTCTGGGGGTGGGAAGTGTAAGGATGGTGGTTTGTTTTCCATCCATCCATCCTCTCATCTTTTTCAGGGTTGCTGGAAAAACCAGCAGCAGTACCTGCAGCAGAGTAGCACGTGATTGACTGCCACATTGATTTTGTATGTTTTAGTTACTATTTTTTCCGAGATAGGTTTACAATGTAAAATATATATTTGTATAGTAGGATAAAAATTTATTAAATTGGATTTTTTTTTTGTGGGCTACTAAAATTATACAAGCAGCCAGTAAAATGTCTAATGTACTGGTCTGGTGGCCCAACAGGGGGAAGGATGTTAAACAGTGGTGACACTGCAGTCCTTTTACTTTTATGTGGTTTCTTTTTACATAACAGTAACATTTGAACTTACTGTTAACTGTTGTCATCTGTACCCATCAACTGGCACAGGTCTTTGTGATCCCCAGGTTTCTGTAATGCTTGCAAATGACGGAGACATTTCCGTAGCATGTGGGACATCTGGTTGCCCTTCATTCTGATCAGCAGTGGAGCAGTGCATGGAGGAACATGATGAGCACTCCCAGAGTGACCTCTACAAAATGACCTCCAGCAAGTCACTGGTGTGAATGTCTCTGAACAAACCATCAGGAACAGACTTCGTGAGGGTGGCCTGAGGCCCAGTGACCTTTAGTGGGCTGTGTGCTCACCAGGCAGTCAGACTGGTGTTTGCTATAGGATACTGGCAGTCCAACGCTGGCGCCCAGTGCGCTCTGTTTTCAAAGTGTCACTTTCATTTTTTTGAGCAGTGTATATTGAAGTGAAAGTTAGCTTTTCAAATTTGAAAACAGGTTTTAGGATATACAGTCTTTATTTTTGGCATTTGTAATTACACACTAGTGTAAATAAGCCATCCTCCGGAAAGGTGAGTTCAAATACAAGGAACTCCCTGGGGGTTTCCTTCTAGGGCAAAATCTGATTTTGCAGACTCAGCTAATTAAATAGAAAACTCTTTCTAGTTCCACTTATTTGATTTGCAGTTTGATTAATTCAGTTTTTGCCATTACAATATTACCAACAATGTAACATCTTATTAGTTTTGAATCAGATCTAAAATCTGAGCAACTGTATGAGTTAAGTATATATATCCACCCAGCTGGTATACTCACAGTATCTCATGAGCATTGTAGTTTTCAGCATTTTTATAACATAACAGTCGTATAAAGAGAGAGAGATAGTTATTTATTAATTTCATTTTTTAATGAATCCTTTGCTTATCCTGGTAAAAATGTCACCGAGATTAAAAATCTAATTTCCAAGAGAGATCTGGCATCATGCCAGCAAAGGTGATTTATTAAGAATACATAATTCTTAATAAATCGAGATAAAAAAATTTCCGGGTTGTAAATGGTCCAGTACTATTTGGTTTAGGGGAAAATCCATGATGACAAAACTGATTGATGGTCGAATTTTTATGTGAAACCATCGATGACACTACCGTTATACCGCTTTGCGCCTGTAGATGTTACCTGTCACGTGCACCTTTACCGAACCCAAAACTCCAACCACCACTAGATGTCACCGCACACCCAGGCATGGATACTTGCGGCTCCTCAATTGCAGCAGCTGCAATAATCATTGTAGTTATTACTGGGGGCAGAAAAATGATCAGCTACATTAAAAATAAGGTCGACCAAAAACACACAGGGGTGCTCATGGTAGTTGTGACTCACGAAAACCCGGCAGAGGTAAAGTTTGAATTGATCACAATTAATTAATGTGCACGTCTCCTTAACAAATTTAATCTCAGCAAAAAAGCATGACTATATAATAATAACCTGATGAGTTATATATACGAATTCCAATAAGTAGTGTTACCAGAGGCACCTGTAACTGTCAGCTGTTTGAAAGTGCACCAAAGCGATTACACGTTTGACACGTTTGCAAGGGGAAATCAGACGTTACCCGAGCAGAGGGGAATTTTCGAGCTGACGGGTCAAGTTATCCAGTAACAACCCGTACACGGGATATTAGCTGTTGGCTCTTCAAAATAAAGTCCCAAAGAGAGCCATGGCAAACGTAAAACGATCAACTCTTGATGAAAATAAACTATAACTGTTTTATAAAAAAATTATATTTTATTCACATATAAAACATTATAGGAGAAGGTGATTTAGAAAGAAAAACTGGACAAATACGATAAAGACAAGACATAAACTTTTATTTGCCATGTGAAAGTTAAAAAATTGAAGCAAAGCCCACACTGAAGTAGATTTCATGAATTAAATCAAACAGATAGGAGACCCCAAACTGTCTTATTTGGATAATTTTGACTGAAATACGTAATACATAAATACATAACGCGGACGTCTTAAAAATTTTTAAATACCTTTTAGTTTGAAATCAGCGTCCGGAAGTCGTGCATTTTCCGGTTACATTACTTCATTTACCACAAAAACAGTCCTGATAGAATCGTGCAGGCACGCTGGTGGCTAACAAATAGACCGCGGACTGCTGGTAAATAAATATTAGAAAGTGTGTTAGCATTGTCAAAGTTGATTTTAAACATTTCAGACATTAAAACTGGACCTACGTGAAGCCAGCGGGCTGAGGAAACCGCGAGTCATCACTCGCTGACGCTGCCCAAAGACGAGTACCACCCGTAAACATTAACACATCTAAAGCTAACTGTTAGCAGACCGACACACGCCCCGGAGGACTGCTTTTAAATATTTACAGACAGCCTTTTCCTTTCGTGGCACAGCATAACAGGAGACCTCCGGTGGAGCCAAGGTAAGCTCAAACAAGCAAAGAAAAACACCGAAATGAAAGCTAACCCCACTGCCTGCTGTTGATTACAGGCGGCTAGCATAATTGCTAATTGTGTTTGTGGTTGACTGACAGCCGTGACTACAGACGGTTTGTGCGTATTATTGTGTAATAAATCAGGATTAGAGGTAGGGACCGTAGCAGCTCCCGCATCTTCATGCGCTGCACTTGTGCCCCCGGCATCTGTCCCAAATAAAACTCCACATTTAGCCTGTTGGTGTTAGTTAATTCAACGCGAATGCACCCCAGGGCAACGCGCTGAGTGATGAGGCTGGCTAAATTTGGATTTCCTGCCGCCCGCTGTATCCGGGTGATGTATGGGAGAAGCTGTGGATTATAAACCACACCAGCCTTTGCCACTTCAGCGGGTCTAGTGCTGATAATGTTGTTGCTTTTCTAACCCCCACCCCACCCCACCCATGCTGCCTTTCAGTCATATCTCGCTGCAGTGTTGGATGTCTGCAGCTCTGTTTCCACTTTCACTTGACAGGAGACAAGCACTGAAACAGGAGAATCACAGGGTAGCAGCAGCTCTTGCTAACTGTGTCAGACAAGCAATGCATCCGGTGGATCCTGGCGTGGTGTCTGATATCTGATATTACCATGTCATGGTGTCCACCTGCGATTTAACAGTGTTTTCTATGCCATACTCCTTTTTTTCTTGCTACTCAAAATATGCAGTGAGATGGTGAAATTATGTTGGGAACTAAATCTTGGGACCAGACTTGGCATCTGGCACTCATAAATTTATATTTGCAATATTTCCATATTTCCGTCCTGTGCCAGTGTGCATGTAAATAAGGGCAATCCCACACTTTCCATGGCAAACCTTTATTGAGGTGTGCAGTCCAAGGTCACGGGAGTAACCAGCTCATTTGCCAGTCAAAAGGAGTTTCCACTCAGACCTTTTTTGAAGCACTGCTTGTTCCCTGCACACATATGGCTTTCAGTTTGAATGCTAGTTCTACTTTGAGAGCGCAGGCATGATATTAATGCTGACATGCAGAGGAAAAAATAGAGAACTCATTTCACTTTTGTTTGTTTGTACGGTGATATAAGCGTCAGCAGTGCCTGGAAAAAAGGAAGCCGAGATGATTTCCCACAGGTGTATTTCCGTGCGTGAAAAAATAAGTGGTTGTTTCTTCCTCAATAAGTCAGACATGTCAAAAATGAAGCCTAGAAGCCAGAATCGGCCAGGCAAGGATTCCAGCCCAGTGGACAGCCTTAGAAATTGTGAACAAGTACATAGATTTGTAACCATATATTTTTTAGAAGTTTTACAGCTTTTCCTATTGATAAAGACCATCTCGCCCCAACACACACACACACACACACACACACACACACACACACACACACACACACACACACACCACTCCATTACCATTCACACTACACCAAAGTAATTAAGTAATAGATAAACATGACAAAAAGTTCCTGTTTTTCCATTATGATATAGATTATATTTTTACAGGACATTATTGATATTATTGGACAGTTTGGGCATTGAACTACCAAAAGTGACTGTAATTTTACACATTTATCACATAGGTTCAGTGGTCTGGTGAACTTAAGAGCCAAGTGTAGGGCTGTATGTACCACGGTGTAAAATGACTTTGACATCCCTGCAATAAGTCGACCTCACAGTTTGTTTTTTAACTTAAAAAGTGTATCTGTCAGTTATCGCAGCCTTCATTTATTTTTGATTTGACTAATTTATTACATTTCAGTGTATATTTGTGGTCTCAAGTCAGAGCATGTAGTTTTTTGTCTGGTGTGATTCTGACCCATGTTGTTCTGGGGTGGAGACCAGGAAGCAGGTTCAGCAAACTCTGTGAGTCTAATAATAAATGCCGGGTTGATTTTTCTTGTTCTGGGAAGACTGATCAGAGTTATTTCAATCAGCTCTTGAGTTTGCTCACCTTGAGTTAAGTGTGTACGTAAAGTAGCGAAAGCAAGCGATCTTCAGTGGAATCTGCTACCGCGACTCACCATGGCAACGGGCAGATAAAGAACAGAATCTCCTTTTTTTTTTTTTTTAATCCAGCGGAGCGAGTAAATGAACACATGCCCGACCATGATACTTATCTCAAAAATTTGGGGGGGGGAGTTATTTTATTAGCTTTGTCCACACTGTCATCATCTGTGAGAGTATAAAAATTTGTTATAAAGCATCTAATTTGGGGTCATTATTTACTCAACCTGAATTTTCATTAGATTAAGCTTGAATCTTGATTTGACATTTAATTTTCAAAGCTCCAGATCTGCCCCCAAGCAAGTTTTTTTTATTAAATAAAAATTGTTTTTTTTCCCAGTAATTTAACTTTGTTAAAAAAAAAAAAAAATTTCGCTGGATAAAAATGAGTAATGACATTTACAGAAAAAACTTTGCTTTAATGTTCCTGACTTTAACCATGTGTAATTGCTAATATTAGACTTCACTGACTAATATTAGTCAATATGGCTGTTTTAAAGCCACAGTAGAGATGTTTTACTGAGTTACTGTTAATACTAAGAGTTGAGCAATTGTAACTGTTTAACATCTAACTTAAAAAAAAATAGAGGGCAGCTTTCCAAATCTAATGAAGGTAAAGTTTCATCCATAAAGGGAAAAAGTGTTATAGCTAAGCTTACATAAATTGAAATATTTCAGTGTAGTTTGGAAGGGTTAGGCATTAAATGGTGTTTTAAAAATGGGGAACATAACCTGTTCCTGACAGTTTTAGTTTTGATTCTCTCACTGCAGACTCGGTGCTGTTTAAGGGTTTGGAAGTAAAGATAAAATCTAAACTCACAATTTTAACATAAGCTTAGTTTAGGGTAGATGTTCTGTAGAGAATATACTGGTCAGTAGTGATTTCACGTCTGTTAATCTCTAATCTGGAACCTAAACATCTACGGCATAAGTTACCATGGCGATGTAATTTTAAATTTAATAGCTTTTTTTTTTTTTTTTTTTTGGATACATGCGGGCTGTAGTTAAACATTCACCTTGTGTTACTGAAGCTGGTTAATTATTTTGAGCTCTGCAATGAGAGAGGCTTTTTTGCATATTATTTACCAAGGTGGTTATCTGGTTGTATGTTTATGCTCCACACTAGGGCTGCCACAAACGATTATTTTGATAGTCGATTAGTCACCCATTATTTTTGCGATTAGTCGACTAATCAGATCATCATCCATTGGACGTACAGCTTATTGCACCAGCAGCATCTGCTCTTATATAACTATCATTAGCTTACAGCTTTAAGTGTTTAAGGTCTGTGCTAACTAAAAATAAAGACAAGATGATAGTTTATTAATTTTTAATGAAATTTGCAGATTGTTTCGGTGAAGTTTAATAAACTCCTTGCTTTCAAAAATATAACAGGACACCGGAGTAAATTCTGGAGCATCTCACACTTCTGATAATCAGCTGTCTGCTTGAAGTTTATTTAGCTGTGCAAAAACTATAACTTTAATCTCAGCCAAACCGATTTACTCAGGAACAAATAAAATACTAAAGAAAGCCAAACAATAACATTTTTAAGTTATCTAAGTGACTTATATATGTTTAACCTGACTAGCAAAAGACGGCGGTGGGTTTGAAAACAATTTGCCGGGAGTCCGGTGTTCTCACGGCTCTAGTTAGCCTTGCCCCCGGCTAGCTAACGAGCTAGTGGGTAACAGATGTCTCCGAAAACGTCGGAGCGCTTTTGAAAATATGCGGTGTCTTGATAAACTGAGCAGATATTTGAGGTTTACACAGCTACATTCCTGCCTGAAAATATGTTAAAGGTTTATTTTGTGACCCAGAAAGAATAATAAGAGTAAAGTTAAAACTAACTAGCTGCCGCCATTGTTGACAACTGCGCTGGGCTGCACTATGAATTCTGGGACACAGCTTCTTCTTCTTCGGGGTTTAACGGCAGCTGGCATCCTTGTACATGCAGTGCTGCCATCTTCTGTTTCAGTCCGTTATTACACTCTTAAATCCTGCTACTTATTCCTGCGTCCTTTGTGATCTTACAAAGCTTCAAACGATGCGTCGACTATTAAATTAGTCGTCGACGATTTTAATAGTCGACATAATCGTGACTAGTCGACTAATCGTGGCAGCCCTACTCCACACAATTCAAATACATAGGTAAATTAGCTATGCTTAAAATTCTAAGCAAATCAGCCTTTATTTGTGGGACAGGGCGCCTGTACAGCTGTTCTCTGTGGAGCTGTGAAGTGTAGGCTCATAATTTTGTCACCTATTGTTATTTCATTTCTACAGTCTCCATAGGAAACGGAGGAAACTGTCAGTGGTTCTGCTGTATATTTGACATGATGCTGACATTGTCATTGTCACCCACAGAATAGTAGTACCAATAGCCAGCTGCCAACTCTATGGATGCACTAAAATTATTATTTTTTTCAGACGTTTCATCTGCTACAAACATTCTGTAGTTGTTATTAGTGTTTGCTGTTGAAGCACTTCTCTGAAAAGCATATTGCTTTCCAGTTAAATAATGACACTCATAGCATGTTTGCTTCCCACCCGTCATATCTCCTAAATTATACTGCTGTGCAGTGCTAACATTTTCTAGACAAATGCCCTGTGACAGACTGGTGACCTGTCCAGGGTGTACCCTGCCTCTCATGCTATGATAGCAGGGATAGACATCAAGCCCCTGACCCTGAAGCGGATAAGGAAGGAAATCAGTGAACACATGAATGAGTGAAATGTACAGCTTGAAACTTTGAAATTGAAATAGTTAAAAATTGCTGCTATGTGTGTTTGTAACGTAGACCGAGAACAGGTGGTGCTTATCTCAGCTGATACCGGATATAAGCCTAGAGCCTGGGGAAATAAAGTATGCTTTTATAGGCTCTAATCATATTTACTGTCTTTAAAGGGAATCACAGCAACAACATCACCGACAGCCTCCCCTGCTCACAGGCACAGACTCACCTGAAAACAAGTAGGGATGCACTCA